CCCTTAAGCCCAAAACCCCTAACCCCTGAACCCTTTTACAGATCCTCCATTAAGAGTTTGAGGCAAGTGCTATACTGAACTTAGACCCCTAGCAAAAAATTACAATTTTAGCTGCTTCTTAGGGTTTAGAGTAGCCAAAAATTAAAAAATATTTCTAAGTACCCCTAGGTTAAGAGTTTGAGGCAAGTGGGCTCTGAGGGTTCAGAGCTTTCGGCTTCCAGGTTTGGGATTGAGCGTGTCGGTTTTTGGAGGTTTAGGGTTTAGGGATTTGGGGGTTTCGGGTTTAGGGTTTCGGGTTTAGGGTTTCGGGTTTAGGGATTTGGGGTTTCGGGTTTAGGGTTTAGGGTTTAGGGGTTTAGGGTTTATGGGTTTAGGGGTTTCGGGTTTGGGACTTGGGGTTTCGAGTTTCGGGGTTGACTGGTTCCCTGTTGGGGCTAAATTAAGAACTGACAGTTTGTCAATCCTTATTGGGTTTAGGGTTTAGGGTTTTGTTATGACAAAAATGAAACGTTGCAACCAACAAGGACCCAGTTGAGGGCTTCGATGGAAGGAATGCTCCGGAGTTCTGAGTAGCCGCCTGATATCCAGGCCGCGATTCGTAGCAGAGGCATGCAAGGGCCTGAATAATTAGAGAAGGGTTTTGGGCTCTTTCATCGTATATTTATAACAAGGAACCTAACAATAATGTTGGTAATTATTTAGGCTCCCATCTTATCCGAGGATTCTTCTGCAGTTGGAGCGGAACTGCAACAGCAACTTACTAGAATTCCGCCCTCAGGCCCCCAAGGGGTTGGGTTGCATGGTGACGCCCGGCTTTAAGTCGCCTGCCCCTCCAAGTAGAGCCGTGAGATCTAGCAGCAACCAGCACGACATTGGCAACAGAAGTGGTTCAACCGAGTTACCCAAAGTCCTTGGTGACAGCAGAAACAGATCTGCTTCGCAACCTTCGATCACCATCATCATCATGACTACCATTATCACCAACAGCATCATCATTAACAACAGCAGCATCATCAGCAGCAGCATAATCATCTTCGTGGTCATCACCATCATCATGGGCCGTCGGCACAAGCGGTGCCGTCGCCGAAGCAGCCAGCCGCTGTTGCAAGTTGCTAGTGGTAGCGTTTTCTGTGTGCTTGTACATGGTTACATATTCAGAGCGTCGAGATCATCACTCTGGTCACCTTTCGTTGCTGATGGCCCACCCCTGAACCCAAAAACCCTAATCCCCACCAATCCCGAAATGATGGGCCTCCATCGGGCGCAGAGCTTCGGGCCACTCGACCTGTCAAACAACTGGCCCTGATTTCTGACATCCCCAGCGAAACGGTCCTGCTGAAACCCCTAACAAGGGCAGAAAAGCCGCATAAAGCCTTCACAAATATATACACCACAACGACAAAAATAGGGTTTCAAGCTTCGGGATCTAAACCCTACTCGGAGGATCATGGAACTTAGTAACTTAGTAAGTATGGTTATAAGTCCGCCAATTGGGGTTATAAGTATAGTTACTCGCATTATAACCCTACTTACTAAGTCACATGATCCTTTAACATCTTAAACCTGAAAGGCGCACATCCAAAATCCGAAACCCCTCTCCCTGCAACCCTAAAACCCCTAAACCCCTAAACCCCTAAACCCCTAAATTCCTAAACCCTAAGCCCTACAGCTAATCCGAAACCCCTAAACCCCTAAACCCCTAAACCCTAAACCCAACCGCTGATCCGAAACCCCTAAACCCCTAAACCCTAAACTCTAAACCCCTAAACCCTAAACCCTTAACCCCTAAACCCCTAAACCCCTAAACCCCTAAACCCCTAAACCCTAAATTGGCCTTAACCCTAAACCCTAAACCTAAACCCTAAACCCTAAACCCCCTCTCGGCCCTCTGGAAGCCACGGCCTCCTCACAGTGCCCGCTGAGGAGGAAGGCATCGAAGGGCGTTGGCAGGAGGACGTCTGGATCGTAAGACCTTGGGTTAGGTTTAGGGTTTAGGGTTTAGGGTTTAGGGTTTTGGGTTTAGGGTTTAGGGATTTGGGCCCCCAAGTTAGAGGAAACTACAGGTGGGGAGTTTAGGGTATATAAGGCTTCGATAAGGCTTCTAGAAGGTATATAGACCTTCTATAAGGCTCCTATAACGGTAACTACCCACCTAAAATTGTCCTAGATTGGGCTTACAGCAGGGTACAGGTTTAGGGGCTTAGCTCTGTAGGGTGTAGCCTTGAACGGGTTCGCATGAGGGTGTAGGGCTTGGGGCTCTTGCGGTTTAGGGCGTAGGGTTTCGGGTTCCCTAAACCCTAAACCCTAAACCCTAAACCCTAAACCCTAAACCCTAAACCCAGGGTGTCGGGTCTAGACGTCTGGGCCGTAAGACCTGGAGCCGAACCTACAAAAGGGGTCCTAAGGTCTTAGGGTTTTGGGGTTTAGGGGTTTAGGGTTCAGGGGATTCGTGGTTTAGGGTTTAGGGGTTCAGGGGTTTAGGGGTTTAGGGCTGTAGGGTCTTAGGTTATAGGGTTTTGGGGTTTTGGGGTTTAGGGCTGTAGGGTTTTAGGGTTTTAGGTTTTTAGGGTTTAGGGTCCTGCAAACCTTTCATATAACCTGTGCGTAGGCTCAGGGCACGGTAAATTTCGTTCGGGTGGATCTAAGGTGTGTTCAATGGCTTCTTCTGATGTTTTGTAGGGTTTAGGGGTTAGAGTCGAGGGCTTTTTAGGGCTTACAGAGAAGGATGCTGGGGAAAAAGGGTGTGCCTGTCAGTGTCCTTTGACGGAATTTTACGGTTAAGATGGTAACCCTATTTTGAACAACCCCGACGTGGCCAAAGATGAAGCAATCTCGGAACCCTCTGCGATTCCAGAGGCTTCCCTCTTCAATGCAGGTAAATTCTCGTGCTGTTTCGTTTGGGGTTTATGGCTTAGGATTTACGGTGCATGGCCATGCCCTTTCAATTGCATCGGGGTCGATTCTTTCCAGGGTCGTTCTGTTGCTATTAGTATCTGTTGGGACTGATACTCGCGCAGCATGCACAGCAACCCTAAACCCTAAATCCTAAACCCTAAACCCTAAACCCTAAATCCTAAACCCTAAACCCTAAACCCTACATCCGAGTCTTTGGCAACCAGGCCCGCGCAGCGCTGGTTTGCAAGCAGCGGCTTGCTACATCTCCTAGGCACTGGACGGTAATACTTGCAAGTCCTTCGCATACAGCACATAATGCAAATGAGACTTAGGGCGACAAAGCGATGGGAGCAGCAATGAGAAGTAGATTGGGGATGGTGCTATCTCTACCACCCGCCAGCCAGGATTGTGCGACAGATTGCTGATACTTCTTGTGTTGACCGCTGTCTTACTCAGTCTTGCTGTTCATGGCAGAGCGAAACGAAACCACAACATCAACTACTGTTAGGAATACTGATAAGCGTAGTATACATAACAACTGCCGTAATTCATATCATACTGTTATTCGTGCTCAGATGGACAGCAGCTCTCTTCATCACCGGCATCACTTACACGATGGCGTTTGTCCTGATTCCGCCGTGGCCACATGAAGCCTTCTGGATGTCAGGGCCCGCTCCCTAAGCTCCAGAAACCTACCCGAAGCCTCAAGCTTGTTTTGAGTTCAGGGTTCAGGGTTCAGGGTTTAGGGTTCAGGGTGTAGGGCTCAGCGTTTAGGCTACAAACTCCCGACGGATCGTCGTCGCTTGTATGCACGGTGCAGAGCAAGGCAATAACTCTACACGAAGAGCTCTGTTTGTACTTATTTTCTAACACGCGCCAAACTCAACAAATACAGGTTCGGTTAAGGGACCCTAAACCCAGTTACCCATCATGCGCAAGAACACGGCTTTGTCAGTTCAACTAAATGGACTGCTGCTCGCCGTTGGGTCCTGCCGCCCAAACCCTCAACTCAAGTCCTCGACGCAAACCTCTGGCCTCACATCGAATCCAAAAGCTGAAAATCCGAACACCCCAAGAATCCCTACCAAACCATGCGAAACCCCAGAAAATCAGGATAACACGACCAGCTAAAACCTCAACCCGAACCCCCGAACTCTAAGACCTCCTAAGCCGCCTAAACCTCCCCCAAAACCTAAAACTTCCTAAACCCATGCACCCTAAACCCTACTTGGAGGATCATGGGACCTAGTAAGTAGGGTTATAAGTCCTCTAATTAGGGTTACAAGTATAGTTACCTGAGTTATAACCCTACTTACTAAGTCCCATGAGCCTCTAAGTAAACCCATACACCCCCTAAACCCCCAAACTCCCTAAATCCGAGAAACTCCCTAAACCCTAGAACTCCTGCGGTGGCGGACGCCAACTCCACTCTCCGGCTGTGCCGATCGAGATCCTGGCGTGCTCGGAGAGCCCTCGGGCCTTGGGGTTTTGGAGTTTTAGGGTTTAGGGCTTTAGGGTTTTGGAGTTTTAGGGTTTAGGGCTTTAGGGGTGTAGGGTTTGGGGTTTTAGGGTTTAGGGTTTTAGAGTTTTAGGGTTTTGGGTTTTAGGGCTTTAGGGTTTTGGGTTTTTGGGATTTTAGAGTTTTAGGGTTTGGGGTTTTGGAGTTTTAGGGTTTAGGGCTTTAGGGTTTTAGAGTTTTAGGGTTTAGGGCTTTAGGGTTGTAGGGTTTGGGGTTTTAGGGTCTAGGGTTTTAGAGTTTTAGGGTTTTGGGTTTTAGGGCTTTAGGGTTTTGGGTTTTTGGGGTTTTAGAGTTTTAGGGTTTGGGGTTTTGGAGTTTTAGGGTTTAGGGCTTTAGGGTTTTAGAGTTTTAGGGTTTTGGGTTTGGGGTTTGAGGGTTTAGGGTTTTAGAGTTTTAGGGTTTTGGGTTTGGGGTTTTAGGGTTTAGGGTTTTAGGATTCGCTGTAGGAGTTTAGGCTTTAGGGTGTAGGGTTCCTGCAGGGTACTGCAAGGGTATCTACTGAGGATGTGAAAATCCTGCAACACCTCAATTGGAGACCTCCCCTACTGAATATCGCGATGTTGTAAGTAAAAACCCTAACCCCTAAACCCCAGCGCCTACACCCCAAATCACTCCTCTTACAGATCCCCCTAAACCCTAAACCCTTACAGATCCTCTTTGGAAACTGTAAAGGATGCCCTATACACCCTCAACCCTAAGCCCTAAACCCTCAACCCCTAAACGCCCTGACAGCGGAACCCCCGGGATGACTTGAGTCGCATGGAAAGGACAGGAGCTCAGTAGGGGCTCCTTTCAGGGTGCCGTCGGTTTAGGGTTTAGGGATTAGGGCTTAGGGTTCAGGGATTAGGTTTCAGGGTTTAGGGTTTAGGGTTTAGGGTTTAGCGTTCAGGGTTCAGGGTTTAGGGTTTAGGGTTCAAGGGGTTTCTGTCAAGGTTCCTTTATAGTATCAGGGTTCCTGTCGGGGATCTATAAGGGTAGGGCTTAAGGTGGGGTAGTTGGGGTTCAGGGTTTATGCACTGAACTGAATTAACATTTAAACTAAACGCGCAATGACATAATGACGGACTTGATTTACATACTTCTAGGAGCTTAAGGTTTATGGCTTAAGCTCAATTCAATGATTTTGCTACTAGCTAGGATGCGCTCGGGAGACGGTAATATAATGGCCGCAACAATTGCAATGGGGTTTTCGGTGTACGTTGTAATATAATATGCTTGTAATCAGGAGCCCGAATTTGCTGCATTATTGCGGCGCCCGTATTCTATGTGAGGACCCGAGTTTCATGACAACAAACTGGTTTCCTTTCAGGGTTTAGGGTTTAGGATTTAGGGTCAGTCTGCCACTACCTATGGCCGGACAGGTTAGCAACTAGAACTAGAGTCTCCGATGGGGGAACTTGAACTGCTTAAGTTCCGGCTCAACTGCAACGTAGGTTCAAGGCTTGAGGTTGTTATGTACTCCTAAACCTTAAACCGTAAAATCTAAACCTTAAGCCCTAAACCCTACACCCTGAACCCTGAAGTGTCCTGAGTCGCTGGTACCAGAGAGAGCCTTATGCTCAGTTCCGGAACTGGCACTTCGCCAGCTCTAAAGCACCCTAAACCCTAAACCCTGAAGCCTAAACCCTAAACCCTAAACCCTAAACCTTAAACCCTAAACCCTTTGAAACTGTGGGCCGCTAGTATGAGCCCTTAACCCTGCGACCCCTCTACAGCTACCATATACCCTATATATGTACCCTTAAAGGTCCCTACTTAAAGGATCATGGGCCTTAGTAGGTAGGGTTACAACCAAGGTAACTATACATATATTTACTTATAACCCCATTAAGGGACTTATGACCTTACTTACTAAGTCCCATGATCCTCCAACTAGAAATAAGGACCCTAAACTATGGGATGTATGGCTATATTCCTTACTATGACAATGCAGGATTTCTATCATCAAGCGTCCTAGAACAGTCTTTCTTGAGAACGCGCTAAAGCATCCCTGACCCCTCTGTCTCACCCCCAGTTATCACGAGAACACAGGGCTTTTGATGCGCTTCGCCGAGAGGGTCCGTTCGAGCCTCCTACGGTTTAGGGTTTAGGGCTTAGGATCCTCTGCGTGCGAGTCCCAGAATTGCAGACATAACTACGCCCCCACATCCTACCTAATTAGATTAGTTGGGTTTAGGGTCTACAAGTCGCCAAAACCCAAACAAACCCTAAACCCTGAACCACTCGAGGGTTTGGGGGGGCACCGATTTAGGAAGGCTGTCGGGGCTTGGGCGAGCTTCCAAGCAGCAGAGGCTGTAAGGTTTAGGGCTGTAGGGTTTAGGGCTCCAGGGTTCAGGGTTTAGGGTTTAGGTGTTGAGGGTTTAGGGGTTTAGGGTTTAATTAGGAGATTAGGAGAGTTTCGATTACCAAAGATCTTCTCCCCAGTACTGGTGCGCATGCTCTGCCACCCAAACCAGGTCACACTGGCTCTCACATGGCCCTTTGCATAGCACGCGCTGCCGCCGGAGCCGCTGTTTCAGTTCCTCACTGGTGCGGAAGGGGGGGTTTAGGGTTTAGGGTTTAGGGTTTAGGGTTTAGGGTTTAGGGTTTAGGGTTTAGGGTTTAGGGTTTAGGAGTGGATCCCTAAAGTGGCCCCCAGATCATCCCTTACTGTACGTCCTTTTTACCAAACCTTAATTTCAAACCCTTACAGTAATCCTTGAATTCCTTCCTCAACTCTTCCTTACATGAAGGATCGCTAAACTTAGTAACTAGGGTTATAAATTTAAATACGGCAACTACACTCAAAATTACTTATAGCCCCACTTAAGGTACTTATAACCTCAGTTACGAAGTCCGATGATTCTTCAAGTTCAAACTTGTATAGATCCCTTACAGAATTCTTAGAAACGATCCCGCGTAGAACCCCTATAGGTCCCTGTAGTAGAAGCCTTGTAGACCCCTAAATCCTAAAACCGCAACACCCACTTATAGAAATAAGAACTGCAATAATAATGCTAATCATCATACAAAAATACATAAATAGTCAATAATGAGGAGAAGCACAATAATGATCATATAGGGGTTTCCGACAATAGGGGACCCTCCTATATCACCCTGAGTAGTAGGATCCCTAATTAAGGTACCCGTTATTTTCGGAAACTCCCATATTAATCCTAAACCCTAAACCCTAAACCCTAAACCCTAAAATGCAGCGCCAGGTTCCCAGCCCTCTGAGATCAGCTTGTCCACAGCTTCCTGCTCAGGTCCAGGATCTCCGTGAACTTCCACGACGATCCTTAACGCTAGAGTTTAGGGTTTAGGGTTTAGGGTTTAGGGTTCAGGGTTTAGGGTTTAGGGTTCGGGGTTTAGGGTTCGGTTCAGGGTTTAGGGTTCAGGGTTTGGGGTTTAGGGTCTAAGGGTCCAGGGTTTCGGGTTTAGCGGTCTCGGGTCTAGGCTGTAGGGTTTAGGGTTTAGGGTCTAGTTTAAGGGTCTCGGGCTTTGTGTTTCGCGTTTAGGGGCCAACCCCCAAGTCCTAAACCCCTGAACTACAGCCCTGAAGCCTTAAACCCCCAAACTCAGCGACTAAACCCTAAACCCTAAACCCTAAACCCTACAACTGCTGACTAAGTAGGACCCGAAGGTCATGGACAGCATCTCCAGTAGCTCGGGATTCTCCTCGAGGAAGCTGCCAAAGCAGCCCTCACCTGCTCTCTCTTCGAAGGGTTTAGGGTTTAGGG